GGGGGGCAGAAGAACTGGAAGAGCTGAGACATTTTTACAATCACAATGAAGCCACGGCATCCTAGAAATACTTTGAGGAAAATAACCATCAGAAGTCATTTAAAATGGATACAGGACTGATTGTGGGGAAAAAAACAAGTTTGTTCAAAGTTAAATGCGTCTCACACCTCCACCTCCACCTCCACCTACCTGTCATCGTTGGGTCCAGTCAGAGGGTTGTTTCCAGCAAATCCGGGCATGTTGACGTGGTCCTTGATGATCATGATGTCGCCCACTTTGAAGTCCTGGTTCAGGCCTCCAGCTGCGTTCGTCATGATCATAGTTCCGACGCCCATCAGCTTGAAGACACGCATGGGCAACGTAATCTGGAAAGTAAAGTTTACAGTAATGTTGTTTACTGACGTCACCACACAGCAGAGTCTGTTTTAAGGTTCTGCAAAATACAAAAACTCCACAGTTACACAGAAACGTAGCAAACACAGACTATTTAAAGTGATGGAAATGTGGGAAATTCCTGTTATTATTTTACCCAATATGTCTCGGCTGACTAATAACAATAACATGACAAAACAGTAGAAACAAACAAAAAAAACTGACGCTGTTTTCAGACTTTAAGCTTCTCGCAAATCACTAATGTGTCAGCCCAGTTTCAAGCAAAACGAAGTATAAATGAATTTAAGCGTGGTCGAGTCACAAAACAAAATATTTTCTCAAATTCAAACTATGCAGAGGTTTCTGGTTTAGGTTCGTTGCTGATAAATCTTTCAAAATCCTTAGATAACTCTTGAAAACACATTTCAAGGAATTATTTACAGTAAATCTTTGAGAAGGAGCTTCCGCAGTCGTCGTCCTTGAAGGGAAGTCATTTTGACTTTGCTCACATCCTTTCAGCTGCTGAATATTTCCGTGACTTTTTCGATCAGGTGTACATTTTCAGTTCCCTCAGCAGAACAAACAATATGTCTCTCAGTTCTCCTGAGGTGCAGTGAGGTCCGTTAATCACAAGGTATTTCAGTTCACGAGAACAATGTGTTTTTATTCAGGCAGGTATTCGTGCGCCGCCCCTCTTCTTTCCTGCTCTTGCTCGTGGGACTGTTTCACCTGTGCAGGCACAACATCCGCCTGGTGACTGTTACAGGAACTTATGTTCAAATAAAAACGAGCCATTTGAGGAAAAGTCTTCTGTCACGTGTTTGTATCGTTTTGCAGATTTTGTCAACAAAACCATCATTGCGTTGAAGACGCTTTTGGTCTAATTGAAAAAGTCCCTTTTTAAATATGATTATCTTTTCAGATTTATATTAGATGTGCTCAGTTCAAGTCTTACTTACAACAGCTTTGTGACTGACGGTGTCACAACCTGTGTTTATTTCAGGTTATTTAATGGCGGTTTTTATGTATTTATTTATGCTTTTCTGTTTGCTTTGTGCCGCAGCTACAACTCCCTCAGTACTTTTCCAGTCAGCTCGTCACGCCCGTCTCCACCTGAGTCACAGCTGTTTCCCAGCTCCTCCTTCCTCGTTTATTCCCTCTGAGTCCGTTTTCACAAGTTGGGCATTTATTGGCTTTCATGTCACGTCCAGGCCTCCCAGTGCCTTTTCGTTTCTCCTTGAGCCTCCCAGTGATAAATAAGTTTCTGCTGCCACATCGGCTTTTGTTTTTCTTGGAAAAAAATAAAACTTTTTGAAGTTTTGTTTGGGCGTTCTCGTGTCAGTTTGCATTTTTTGGGTTTCAAACCGGTCACTCATGACTGACGGGGCACAACCAAATTAAAAGCATATTTAGCACAATTTAGATTAGGATGTTACAAATTCGTGTAACTTTGTAAAAGTCCTCTATTAGAAGCACAAAATGAAAAATAATAAGTTTTGTTTTTTGCAAAATATAAAGAGGGGAAAAAAAAAGAATGAAATGTTAAAAAAAAAAAAGCTCAAATTTAAACTTATTGCTTATTCAATCAGCTGTTTGGGGGATGTAGTCCTTTATATATAATTTATCACCAGTGTGCGATGTTGACAGAAGTGGGTGTGTAAGAAGTTTAAAGGTGTGGTCGCACCATAAGATGTCAAACTCAAAGGTTTGTTTTGTGTTTTAAAATATGTTCCGGACAGAGTTCATGTAATCTGGATTAGTTTTCAACTAAACCAACAGCTGATGGGCTTGTTTACCTTTTGGATGGGGTAACCTTCATACAGGTGGAACCTGCCCTGCATGCACACGCATGGCTTCCCTTTTAGTGTTCCGAACACCAGCTGGCCTGCATGACCGTGCACTGCAACACACACACACGATACATTTGGTGGGTTTTTTTTTATCATGCAAATATGAGCAGCTGTTTTCGCCGGCGGCACATACCTGTGCTGCGGGGAAAGTTGGGAATGTCGCTGTATTTGAAGACCTGGGGGTCCTTGAGCATGCCAGCCAGCCCCCCCAGACCTGATCCGCACACGATTCCCACGGTTGGTCGCACCTGCGTGCGGTTCAGCAGCCAATCAGCTATGTTTCTGCATTCCTCGTAGTTTCCTCTGGGAAAGAGCAGAATAAAGACGAGAAACGCAGATGCATCACTGAAACTCCGAGAATCCTAACAAGCGAAGTAAGGGGTCAGTCTCCCAACAGAAGCTGGAGACCTACACTGTTTTTTATTTTGTTTCCGAACTCAGACCAGATTCTTTCAGTGCAGGAAACAAGCCAAGTCATGCTTCTCCATTTGAGTGACATGGAGCAACATAAACAGCTGTAATGAGAGCGTCAGATGGATGGGAACGCACGTTCTACTGATGCTGCATGAACACACAAGACACGCTCTATCCTGTTCAGACGGGCGTCAGCACGGTCTCTTCTAGTAGGGAGTGTCTATTAAAAAATGTGTTCAGCACTGTGACTATCAGCGTTAATTTTAAATGTAAAAATAAATAAAGATTAGATCTGTAGGGAAAAGCAAATAAAGATAAAGAATGGATGGATGGTCTGTTGTGTGTCTGGACCAAAAGGCTCGACTTGTGTTATTGTGCTTGTTATACATTTACGATATACCGCACGGCATTTTAGTGACACTCCGAGGGATCGCTTTAGTTTTGAGCTGATTTAGTTTTACATTGCATTATATTCAGAGGTTTTTTTTTATTTTATCCAAGAAATGATCACAAATAATTTGTCACAGCTGCAACATGAAGACTTGAGGGTCCCTGTGGGAAAATCCATTAAATTCTTCCTAAACCCAAAAATCTGATCCCAGTAGGACACAGGATATTAAAAAGTGAGCTGAATATGTGTTTTATTATAAGCGTATTTGTTTTTACACATATAAAACAAGCTGATTTTTACAGGTTTTTTTTGTTTGGCTACTAATTTATACTCATGTTTTGCTACTTAATTACAGTAAACAACAAGTTTATTATGTTATTTATATGTCTTCTTACCCTGATGATCCCGTGGCAGTACATATAGTGCGTAAAAAAGTAATTACTTTATAACTTACTTCCTTGGAGTGAGACTTTCTTGTAACCTTGGGGAAATTATCTTGAGCAATACCTCTTCAGACTTTGTGTCAAAGTTTTCTTTGGGCAGATACAGTATATTTTTAATTTTTTGTGAACCGTTTTAATTTTACTTATTTAAATGACCAAAATCAGACTTGGTTAGCAAATGGAAAAATAGAAACTAACCAGTTTTTCTTAACAACTAGATCATAAAAATCACACGAAATAAACAGCAAAATATTGATTAAAAAAAAAAAAACTTTATAAATGAGTAATAATTAACCAGTTCTTTTATTTTATTATTAATAACGACAAAGCATTTACTACACTGCGTCAACTTCATTGTGCGTTAAGGAATTTCTAAAATTGTTTTAGCAAAACTTATTTCTGTTAGCTAATTTTTAATTTTTTCTGAACTGTAATATGTTTACACTCGTTTTGCTAATCGTCTAATAGATGGGATCAATAAAGTTCTATCTTATCTTACCATCTCAAAAATGTTACAGCAGATCCACATCAGTCCTTATAAAGAGGAGCGGGATTGCCCAACATGCTATTAAAGTTCAGTTCAAAAGTCTGCCTCGCTGATGGTATTGGGGTGCATTAGTGCCATTGGCATGGGCAGCGTACACATCTGGAAGGGCCCCATCAATGCAGAACAGTAGATTGAGGTTTTAGATCACCAAAAAGGATGGATGCTTCATACTGGGAAACAACGTCTTAGTTTAAACAACTAATACTGGTATCCATCGTAAATAAAAAAGTTTTTTATGAGATCTGCGAATCGTTGCATTAAAATTTTCTTTACATTTCACACAACAGCCCAATCTTTTCAGAATCGGGGTTGCGCTTGCAAGTAAATTGAATCTGTATAATTTGCAAAATGATGGGCGACACGGTGGCGCAGTTGGTAGAGTTGCCGCCTCTCAGAGAGAAGGTCGCCGAATCGAATCCCAGCCGGTGGTGGGGGGGTGGGGGGGGGATTCTGAGTGGAGTTTGCATGCTCTCTCCGTGCATGCGTGGGTTTTCTCCAGTTTCCTCCCACAGATCAAAAACACGCACGTTCGACTGATCGATGACTCTATAAATTGTTCCTAGATGAGAGTGAGACAGAACGGTTGTCTCGTTTGTCTCTGTGTCCCTGTGATGGACTGATGTCCAGGGTGTCCCCCGCCTCTCGCACAGGGACCGCTGGATATGGGCACCAGGCGACCCCCGTGACCCGAAACGAAAGAAGCGGGTAAAGATGATGGATGTTTCTCTCATCTTTGTTAAGATTGCAACAAGGTTTAGTAACTGTGTAATAACAGATTGTAATCTGATATATATATAAATATATATATATATATATATATATATATCTGATGTATATCTGTCATCCATCTATGATAATTTCTTATAAGTACTAAATAATTCAGAGAATATATCCCACAAATATTCACTAATACAATAAAAGAGAGTCTCACTTTCTAAGTGAAAAGAGTTGTGTCTTGTGTTTGAAATATTAGTTTTATGTGATTTCTCTTTGATCTTTTTTACAGGTTTGTGTAATTATGTGGTCACAGAGACTAGAACGACTCATTTCCTCACAGGGTGGCGGTTCTGCCAGCTCTGTTACTAATTCATGGACTCCTTGAACCACATGTGGGTAAAAAAATAAATAAATCACACGCACATGATGATGATGATGATGATGGGCGACGGGTCTGAGTTTAGCACGAGCTGAAGATGAGCACGTGTGGGGGGACCAAAGAGGACCGTTTTTTTTTTTTTCTGTCTGTGTGGTGGGCTCAACAGAAACAGTCCCCGCTTTCCAACGTGGCATCTCAACCGGCGGCTTTAATCCCCGTTTTAATTTAAACGAACATCAGTCCAAACACCTACTGTACGTGGTGGGGTTCTCTCCCTGCAGGTGTCATCTCAGACGATCTTCTCGTGATGTAGCCAGACGGATTTAATTTAACGAGGTAAATACAGCTAGCTAAACTGTTGCGCTCCGTTTAAATGCGTTATAGCCGTCGTTTGTAATAATAATAACGGAATTAGTCCACTTACCCAGAGGTAAAGTCAGACATGATGAAGTATGGCGGTGTTTTCAGCAGCTTCTTACTTGTTTTATTGAGTCTAGCGGCGTTTGTCCGGGTTTCCTGATGGAGAAACCGGCTTTTACAGCCCATCCGCCTCCGTAGTGACTTATTTCTGACGTCACACACATTACATGCTCTGATTGGTCGAAGCGCAGGCGTTGCTCGTGCGCTCCCTTTTCCCTCCCAGCAGCTGATGTTGCATTCAAGAACCTCGGTGAAAAGTCGACTTGTAGTGACAGGCGGTTGTACTGATTTCAATCATGATGAAAGCATCACAAGGCAAGAATTGTTTCATGTTTAATTAAATGGTAAATGGACTGCACTTATATAGCCTTTCTATCTTATTTCAAGATACTCAAAGCGATTTACACTACAATCTGTGCCTCATTTACCCATTAATACAGCACTCTACTAGATCTCTACAAACCTAATTGAACAAATCATTCTAAAGAGACTAATTAGTGCTTAAAGTAATCTTGACTACCAGTTTTATATTTTTCCTCTTGCACCAGTCTGTCCTAATTTTATGAACACTGACAGATTTTTTACCATTTTTTTCAACATACATGCTAAAGAGTTCAACTGCTGTAGTACTAACACGCACACACCCACACACAGACACACACACACACACA